AAGAAAGAAAGAAAGAAAAGAATCCCAGCACAGTGATGCACTCTTGTAATTCCAGTACTTGGGAGGCTGATGCAGTAGATCTCTGAGAGTTCTCAACCAGCTTGAACTGCATAGTGACCCTATCTCAAAAATAGAATCTCCTAATCAAAAACATTAACAATTAATAGGAAAACAAACAAATCGGCAGTTCCACTCACGTATTCCTTCAAACATATATTGAGTACCTAACTCTTGCAAAGCACTGACGAACATGCTATAAAGGAGTCAATATGTCCTCTAGAAAGGTTTTGCTCTGCATTTCAAAATATGTGAGTCTCTTAATTCATTCAACAAATATCTTGGACAGGCTCTGACGCTGCATGCTGGGAACTCTATGGCAACAATTCATGGACACAATTAGCTAGTGAATACGGCTACAAGCCAGGAACAGTGATATGTGGCTATGCTCAGGACACTGAAGCAGGAGGATTGCTTGAGCCTAGGAGCTTGAGGCCAACCTGGGCAACATAGTGAGATCCTGTCTCAAGCAACACATGCATAAAGCTGCAAACACACCCCTTATGTAGGAGCCTGTATAGACACATTAAGCAAGCTGAGCATCACCGCTCCTGTCCTTTAAATACCTGCATAGTTGTTCTGCACAGGATTTTCCAGGCAAACCACAACTGCTCCTCTACACAAACAGAGAAAATAATGACACCACCTCAGCTGGGGGCATAGCATGTGCTTATCATTTGAGGACCTGGGTTCAGTCCCCAATACCAGAAGAAAATGACAGCAGTAATAATGGTCCCTCCTAGAGACACTGAAGGATCACGTAAATTAAAGTCTTAGTGTTCTCCCTGGGGCTTTTGATAGCTCAGTAAAGTTTAGCTATTATTAGTGATCAACCAAAAGTAAAGATTAGTCTTTGGTTAGTGTCCTGGGAACATTGATATACTTTTTCCACAGAATAATACCTACCGCCTCCCCAACTCCCTCACAGTCCTCCTGTGACAGTGGAATCGCCTTAAGGGCGTACGTCTCCTCCCTAGTCTCCAGCACTCCAAGCCAGGTGCCAGTCTTTTCTGCCACTGCAGGGCCTAAGCTAGAGATTGGTGACCAAGAAATCATGTCCTCTCACCTTTGCCTCACCTTAAAGCATGATCAGATTTTGCATCCAATCCTTGGCCTCAGGTGAAGGTGAGGAGTTGCAGGCAAATGTCCAAACCCAACTGGCACAAGCCATCTTCTCCCTGACTGACAGTGTAAGGGATGCCACTCATGGCAAGTGCTCTGCCCCGAGCTCTGCCAGGCTGGCTGCTTCAACTGAGAGTGAAATTATGCCAGGGTTTGAAGGGGACAGATCCCCTTGGGAAAATCTCTCAAGCGGCACCAACCTAGAGGCATTCCTTAATGTTCAATAACTGATTATTTGTGTTATCAACCACAGGGTTAAGTGAGGGAGGGTAAAGGGGGTCAAAGGTAACAAGTTACTTGTTTTCCTTTTTAAAAACTTTTTTGTTCCTTCAAAAAACTCTAACATCTAACCAGTGAATGGGAGACCTGCTCTGTCATACCCACCAAAGTGTAACATGGCTTAATGGCATTCCCTTGGCATCTTTACCTGCGGATCTCATCCATTCTGCCTTTAACCAAGGGCATTCTGGGCTAGGGGTGGTGCTCAATGGTACAGACCTTGCCTAGTATGCACAGAGAAGCCATTATCTTATTTATCTTGTGATGTGCAACTGCAGAGAAGCACAAGAATGAATCAAATGAAGAAGCACTATTTTCAGACAGCAGAGTGACATGTGATATGATCTCTACAGAGCTCCTTCCTAGTGCAAGGGTCTCCTCACAGTGGTGCACAAATACACCATCTGCATGAACACACCGCGTGCAGGAACGCACCGCGTGCACGACCTGGGCACATGAACGCACCGCGTGCATGACCTGGGCACATGAACGCACCGCGTGCGTGACCTGGGCACATGAACGCACCGCGTGCGTGACCTGGGCACATGAACGCACCGCGTGC